TTCTCTAACGGTTTGTAGAAAAAATTGAAAAAGAAAAAAAAGAAGACAGTCAGGTTTTTTAAACAGAATTTGCCAATTGGATGCATTTTGCCTTTTTGGGGCAGAGTACACTACCCCACTACATTAGAGGTGTTTTTTATTTGGCCTACATGTGTATACCTATAGACAATGCAGTATTGAAAGAACGTCCAACGTACACACGTCTATCCAAAGCCTGCTGGCTCCATTTCAGACATGACTGCCTCCCAAAAAGTACTGAGGAGTGAAGACAAGTTTTTTGTTCACCTTTAAAAATGGGAAACTACACAGCCTACGTGCTCTCTTGCTGTTAAAGTATTTCATCCTTCAATCTGTGTCCATGTATGGGCAGGAGGGTTTGGAAGTTCATCTAGGATTCGAAACGTTCCATCCCTCTCTGTCTAAGTGAACTCGGACCACCTCTTCTGATGAATTAAGTTTGACATTGTTATATTTTTGTATACTTGTGAACTGTATACAATAACATGGACTGTCTTACAATAATTATTTGGCATCAATCACTTTTGTGAGTCAAACTTTATAACCCATATTGTAACTTGTGACCTATAACAACTTTTGTATTGCATTTGAACACTGAGTTCAAAATTATTTCAGAGGCACAAAACATACTGGTGCATACTCTGTCACTTACACAAAGTGACATTATTTCCTCCCATAACCAGCATTAGGTCTTCGCATAACTTAAGAGGTGTCAGGAGGTTGTTTTGATGACCTGTCTGATATCGCTGACAGAATAAATGATGAAGACATCAGAGGTAACAAGCTCCTTTCATCAAATTCCATGACGAAGCTATACATCAGGTAATGTATATTTCTATGAAAAACAAGCAAACATGACAGAACTATATTTTCTCGTGTGCTGGAATATCTGCTGTCCTCAACACTTTGAAAACTAGAATCCATCTTTATGAAATGGCACAATGACAAAAAAAAGCCTGTGAGCTGACTACAGTTCAGTGTGCATAATTTCTACAGTTTAAGCATTGTACTTATCACAATTAATTTTGTATCAACTCAACACACCAGAGTAAGTAAGCTTTGCATGGCAGAGAAACAGCTTTTAACGATAGCATGCACCATGAAAACACTGTAAGCTCTCCTATGGGCTCATAACAGGGAAGTAAGTGCAATGTGCTACACAGGGTGTAATGTGTCATCAAATACATAATCCAATTCCTGCAGCCTTCTCGACCCTGCCACTGTGTTTATGTCATTATAACCCAAGAGTTTGTTTTTGCAGTCTAGACTCGTCCCATGAGTAAAAAACGAAACAGTCCCTTGAGGTTTGAGGATAAAGACTACGCATCAGAATTAGGGTTTAATGTTCAGATGTTATGTCTCAGCCCTCTGCATGGAAGAAAAGGGAGTGCATTACATTTGATAGCATAAGGTTAGGATGACAAAAAAATCCAAGCTATTTCATCCAAATAAAAACTCTTTTGTTCTTAATTTAGTTCTTTCTCCATTAGTCCTCTTCAGAGATGCACAGATGTTACATACAAAAAACCATCCAATGCACACATTGAGCAAGTGTCATAATGTTTTGCACAACATGAGTGCTCTCCAGTGGTGACAAGAGGGACTTCAGAAAGTCACTGTAAAGATGTTGCGTTTGTGCATCATCAGCCTGGGCGAGTATTAAACACATCTGTCTTTTCACTTCTTTAATCTGCTTTGCTTGACTTGAGAGAGTCATTTCACTTTTCCAATAACTGCAGGGACGTGTATGAAACCATTCACTGCAGTTGTTTCCATGTGCTCAAGCAGAAAAATGCTGTTTTTGCTCTCTTTTAGTAACCAGCTTGATTCTCACCTGAGCCGAGTTTTCACATTTAAAAAGGGGGATTTCAAAGTAAATCATTTTGTGTTTGCATGTAATCAACTACTGTTTTACACAAATGTATGCTTTTATATATAACTCTCATCAAATATACATTTTCTGCTTTCAGAACATTTTAGAAGCGGTACAAAAGTGTTGTACCCCAAGTATTGCTAATGCATAAGTGTTTCTGATACACCTTGAAAACAGCCTGTAAAGTGGACCTTTGCAAAAATATGGTCTTTGTTTTTTGCAGGTAAAGTCACTACACATTTTTTTTATATTGTAAACAAATGTTTTTAAAAAACGAAAGTATTTTGGTTTCCTCTAAATGTTTACGTGTGTGTAATCAAATTAACATGATATAGATGACCAATTACCATTCATAATAAACACAATGAGTCAGGCCAAAATAATGGTGTACACTTTAGTAAGCAAAGTGAATGTGACGAGGTTCATACCTTTATTTTAGGGATTAATGTGTTGTGAGTTTGCGTTTCACTCAAAGATTGGACAGAGTGATGCTGATACATTGAGTGATCAGGGGGACAAAACACATGAAAATGGGGAGGGACATTTTTGTAATGACTCTTAATTAATTGAGAGGACCCCTAGTTGTCCATCATGGATGGCAGGTTGAGCCATTTCACTGCTCATCTATCAGCTTTTAGACATAAAACGTGATTACGATTGATTGAGTAAACCAGTCACAACAATACATTGATTGTGTCAAGAAAATCAGGCAGGCAAGACATCTTCCACGAAATATAATCCATTATACTACAAATACAGCAAAAGGGTTTAATTGTCAGCATCATTTGTATTCCCATTTAATGAGGGTGCAGACACATTTGCCAAACAATCACTTACAGTGGAATTACAGATTAAACTAAGTAAAGCAGAGGCTAAAAGAATCATTAAGGATCAAACTCATAAAAAGTGATAGGAATTCTGGGATTTAGGCCTATGTGATACTGGGAGACATCGCTATATAACATTCACACAACCAGATGATGTGCTCACTGTGATCAGCCAAGTTAAATATTATTAATGGAGTGCAGTTTATATGAGGGTAAAATGGGGAAGCTGAGGGAAAGATGTACACAGGTATAAAGATCGACTTGACCAAACAGAATATTCTTGGAACTGGATCTTTGTCATATGACAATTAATATGCCTGTTGGGCAAAGTATGAAATGTAGCCTACTTGTTTCCCTCCCTTTTCTTGGAATTAATGTCAGTCAGCACAGGACGGTTAGAGATATAGTTATAAAGGACATTAAGACAATGATTTATGTTTCAAAAAATGTATGAATATATGCAAACATGTAGGCTATATGATATTAATTGTAGCCAATAGGAAAATCGGACATGAATTGTCTCATGACTTGAGGATGATTATGTGTTCTTTTGCAGAATGTCTGTGAAATGGATGGCCATTTTTTTCATCTTCCATATTAGCTTTAATTCTATTAGAGGAGTGGATATTGCTTTTTGTCTTTGTTTGTTTTGTTATATTGTACTGCGTATGACTGTATGGGTTGGACCCCAGGAAGAATAGCCAATGCATAAGCTGGTGCAAATGTGGATCCTAAGAAAGAAAGAAAGAAAGAAAGAAAGAAAGAAAGAAAGAAAGAAAGACAGACAGATAGAAAGACAGACAGACAGACAGGAAGAAAGAAAGAAAGACAGAAAGAAAGAAAGAAAGAAAGAAAGACAGACAGATAGAAAGAAAGAAAGAAAGACAGAAAGAAAGAAAGAAAGAAAGAAAGAAAGAAAGACAGAAAGAAAGAAAGAAAGAAAGAAAGAAAGAAGACAGAAAGACAGACAGACAGACAGACAGACAGACAGACAGAAAGAAAGAAAGAAGAAAGAAAGAAAGAAAGAAAGAAAGACAGAAAGACAGACAGACAGACAGACAGAAAGAAAGAAAGAAAGAAAGAAAGACAGACAGATAGAAAGACAGACAGACAGACAGACAGAAAGAAAGAAAGAAAGAAAGAAAGACAGACAGATAGAAAGACAGACAGACAGACAGACAGACAGACAGAAAGACAGAAAGAAAGAAAGAAAGAAAGAAAGACAGACAGACAGACAGACAGACAGAAAGAAAGACAGACAGGCAGAAAGAAAGAAAGACAGACAGACAGACAGACAGACAGACAGAAGAAAGACAGAAAGACAGACAGACAGACAGAAAGACAGAAAGAAAGAAAGAAAGACAGACAGAAAGAAAGAAAGAAAGAAAGAAAGACAGACAGAAAGAAAGAAAGACAGACAGAAAGAAAGACAGACAGACAGAAAGAAAGACAGAAAGACAGAAAGACAGAAAGAAAGACAGACAGAAAGACAGACAGAAAGACAGAAAGACAGACAGAAAGAAAGAAAGAAAGACAGACAGAAAGAAAGACAGACAGACAGAAAGACAGACAGACAGACAGACAGACAGAAAGAAAGAAAGACAGACAGACAGAAAGACAGAAAGAAAGACAGACAGACAGACAGACAGAAAGAAAGAAAGAAAGAAAGACAGAAAGACAGAAAGACAGACAGACAGAAAGACAGACAGACAGACAGACAGACAGACAGACAGAAAGAAAGAAAGACAGACAGACAGAAAGACAGAAAGAAAGACAGACAGACAGAAAGAAAGACAGAAAGACAGACAGACAGACAGAAAGAAAGACAGAAAGAAAGACAGACAGACAGACAGACAGAAAGAAAGAAAGAAAGAAGAAAAGAAAGAAAGAAAGACAGACAGACAGAAAGAAAGAAAGAAAGAAAGAAAGAAAGACAGAAAGAAAGAAAGAAGGAAAGAAAGAAAGAAAGAAAGACAGAAAGGAAGAAAGACAGACAGAAAAAAAGAAAGACGACTACTAGGGAGAAATTAGATGATTATTTTTTGCCTATCTTGTTCAAGGTCAAGGTTTCCTTGTGTGTCTCCCTCGGGAGAAACTTGTCTCGGATACGGGAAATTGTTGCAATTGATGGTAAAATTAAGTAGCCTACATTGTTCGACAATCCAGTCCAGTAGGTGGCAGTAATGCGCATTCAAGCTGGTTGCCAACCGCCAATAAAACCAAAAGAAGAAGAAGAAGCAGAAGCGCCATTTCACTCCAGTGCAGTAGGTGGAGATTTGTGTTCTAGTTGTTTGGGATCCGCAATACTGCAGAAGAAGACATGTAACAACAACAACAAAAAAAAAAAAAACAGGAAATGTCACTTTCCTTTCGCCAGTTATGCTAGATCAGTTTCATACGACAAACCGTATGGACGTCATATTAATAGTTAGTTTCCGGATGTAGCTAGTGTAGTTTTAAACTGGCTAGCTCACCTGCTGAGTGCTGTGAGTTATGATACGGTAACTGGCTCTTCACGGACATGCCGAAGTCCAAAGGATTACTTGACTTCTGAATGCATCTACCATGTGTTTGTTAACAAAACATGACAGGGAGTTGCTTGTCAACGTTACATCTCTGTATCATGTTTCTGTAACTTAGTGGTCTAGCATGACCTGATTTTAATTCGGTTGGAATCTCGTCGGGGTTTTTTTTTTTTTTTTTAATGAAAGAAGAGACATGGGCGATGTGATCGTTCTCAGCTCCGACAACGATGAAGAGGACTCTGATGTGGAGATAGTCGGCTCTTACAGTCACTTCATGAGTAGAGGTGACCCACTGCCCCTCACAGCGGTGCGAGTAGACGTTGAGTCTTTGAACGTCAACGTCCCCACGGTAAGTCTGCTGCGCGCGACCACAACACGCGCTAACTAGAATACAACATTAGAAAGGTTTTATACTGTAACACATAAACATATACTGTAACATATATACTGTAACACATATACTGTAACACATATACGTATACTGTAACATATATACTGTAACACATATACTGTAACACATATACATATACTGTAACATACATACTGTAACACATATACTGTGACACATATACACATACTGTAACATATATACTGTAACACATATACTGTAACACATATACTGTAACATATATACTGTAACACATACTGTAACATGTATACTGTTACACATATACATATATACTGTAACATATATACTGTAACACATACTGTAACACATATACTGTAACATATGTACTGTAACACATATACTGTAACACATATACTGTAACACATATACTGTAACATATATACTGTAACATATATACTGTAACACATATACACATACTGTAACATATATACTGTAACACATATACTGTAACACATATACATATACTGTAACATATATACTGTAACACATATACTGTAACACATATACATATACTGTAACACATATACTATAACATATATACTATAACATATATACTGTAACACATATACTGTAACACATATACTGTAACATATATACTGTAACACATATACATGTACTGTAACACATATACTATAACATATATACTGTAACACATATACTATAACATATATACTGTAACATATATACTGTAACACATATACATATACTGTAACATATAGACTATAACATATATACTGTAACATATATACTATAACATATATACTGTAACACATATACTGTAACATATATACTGTAACATATATACTGTAACACATACATATACTGTAACATATATACTGTAACACATACTGTAACAAATATACTGTTACATATATACATATACACATATACATATACTGTAACATATATAATGTAACACATACTGTAACATATATACTGTAACACATACATATACTGTAACATATATACTGTAACACATATACATATACTGTAACATATATACTGTAACACATACTGTAACATATATACTGTAACACATATACTGTAACATATATTGTAACACATATATACTGTAACATATACTGTAACAAATATACTGTTACATATATACATATACACATATACATATACTGTAACATATATAATGTAACACATACTGTAACATATATACTGTAACACATACATATACTGTAACACATATACATATACTGTAACACATATACTGTAACATATATACTGTAACATATATACTGTAACACATATACTGTAACATATATTGTAACACATATATACTGTAACACATATACTGTAACAAATATACTGTAACATATATACATATACACATATACTGTAACATATATAATGTAACACATACTGTAACATATACTGTAACACATATACTGTAACATATATTGTAACACATATATACTGTAACATATATACTGTAACACATATACTGTAACACATATACTGTGACACATATACACATACTGTAACATATATACTGTAACACATATACTGTAACACATATACTGTAACATATATACTGTAACACATACTGTAACATGTATACTGTTACACATATACATATATACTGTAACATATATACTGTAACACATACTGTAACACATATACTGTAACACATATGTACTGTAACACATATACTGTAACACATATACTGTAACATATATACTGTAACACATATACACATACTGTAACATATATACTGTAACACATATACTGTAACATATATACTGTAACACATACTGTAACATGTATACTGTTACACATATACATATACTGTAACACATATACTGTAACACATACTGTAACACATACTGTAACACATATACTGTAACATATATACTGTAACACATATACTGTAACACATATACATATACTGTAACACATATACTGTAACATATATACTGTAACACATATACTGTAACACATATACTGTAACACATACATATACTGTAACACATATACTGTAACATATATTGTAACACATATACTATAACATACTGTAACACATACTGTAACATATATACTGTAACACAGAGCGAGAAACACACACAAAAATACGTCTTTTGATGTCAGCTGCTCCTAAACGATGCTCTCAGTCAGGTAAAACTCAAATAGAAAAACTCTCTCCCTGTTTGCTAAAAAGCCAAAGTGAAGGAATTTTGGTTGTCATTTTTTTGACAGAATAGCAGAGACCAAGATGTATTTTATCCGTTATCCGTCATAGAAATAGATTAATTTAATTGAACAAAATGTAATATTTTATTTTATGTTGGTGGCCACGGGCCAGTTTTGTTGAAATACTGTATATTATTACCTGTTTTAATGTTCATTATGAAATGGTTTAAGTCATACGCCCTATATATCCCCTGGCTAGCTTCAATTAACATGCTAACCATGTAGCCTATAAATAAAATCTTTGTATGTGTGATATCACAAGAGCCTGTACCAGGAGCTGTGTAGCATGTTCTGACAGGTAAGGTCTGATCTTCCTGATGTTGTACAGGGCAACTCAACATGACCGGGCAATCGAGGCTACTTGAACCTTAAAAGTTAGCTGGTCATCAATCATGACACCCAGGTTCCGGGCAGACTTTGTGGGCATGAGTTTGGTTGTTCCAAGCTGGATATTGATCTGTGGTTGCATAGAGGGACTGGCTGGGATGACAAGGAGCTCAGTCTTTGAAAGATTGAGTTGAAGGTGGCATTCATTCATCCATTTAGAGATATCAGGAAGGCATGATGAGATTCTTGCAGAGACTGTAACATCGTCTGGCGGGAATGACAGGAAGAGCTGGGTATCGTCAGCATAGCAGTGGTATGAGATGTGCATCATTATTCACAATGATACAATACAATTAGAGAGCGAGAAAGAGCCATCCCCATATGAAAGCTTTGGCAGAATGTCACTGTACAACTTCAGAGCCAAGGTATTTACAATACAGTATATTTGTCAGTTTCCCCTACCCTTACACCTCTTTATAAGACACATAAATTCACAACCTTAACAAAGAATTGTGGTTTTAAACAGAAAAAAATAACTTACTTCATATGAACAAATGAAGAGAAATGTGACTCATTTTTGCCAGCAGTATGCTAAAGACTGAATTTTCCATTTCTTGCTTCTTTAGTGGAAATTAATACATTGTTTCCTTTCCAGGGTTATATTAACCTCACGGATCCAAGATGGACTCTTCCAGACCTGAAGGTGCACAAAAGAAAAAATTCCACATCCTTGGCAGTGATGGACCTGACTGAGATTGTGACGAAAGAGGAGTCAGACAATTTGCCTCCAAACTACTGTCAAATGAAGGAAGAAAGTAAAAATAAAATTCATACTTTAAACGAACAAGATTTTAACATACAGAAGAGCCCTTCAAGTGACTCAACTGCACTACAGGAAGACTGTTTGAACCTAAAGCAGAGGCAGATATGTTTGGATTCTCAAAGCCACCAAAAGCAGACCACCAAAGAAAATCATTGTGTGCCAACTATAAAATTAAAACGGATGCCTTTTCTTGAAACTCATGTTAAAGACCTGAAGATGCCAAGTCGTTCTGTATCCTTAACCAAAGATCCTATGCAAATGTCACCGAACTTTATTCAACAAGGTATTACCAGTGAAACACCAGAGTGCAGCAAAGATCTGAGGACAACTTCTGTATCAAATAGTCTCCATACAGAACCCCTACTTGACAATTCACTTTCTCAGACTATTATTTCTCCTGTCAGAAAAAAACAAGAAGAACTTCCAAGCAAGCCGTTAAATGTTGAAATGTCTCAGCGTGTACAGAGCCCTACTGACTTTGCCTTCGGAGATTCGAGGGAGAACAGCACTTTTGACACAAGGGATGACCTTTGCTCAGACATTTTTATTGACTCTTCATCAGTCCCTTTTTCACCTTTTAAAGAAACACATGATCCCTTTCAAAGTCAGGTCCTCTCCTCTGATCCAGAAAAACTGATATCAGATAAAGCAGACTCTGCACAAAGTGTTCTCTCTAATCACTCACCCCTCTACTCTACTGCTACCAGACTGAACCTTTCTGAGCACACTGACCTCAACTGTCTGCCCAAAACAAGTCCCCAAACTCTGAACTTCAAGAGCGAAGTTGACGCAGCGCCCACCTCTGGTTATACATCAGCTGAGAATATGTATAAATGGCAAATGAAGACGGTTAAGGTTGATGAGGCATCAAACAGTTCTGACCTCCTGGACTGGAGCATCCCCTGTGAACCTCTTTTGTCTGTGCCTAAAACTGATGACATGGATAGCAGATCGGGGAGCTGGCAATATGAACAGGATCGAGGCATTGACAGCCCAGTGCCTTATACTTGGCAAGAGGTAAACACAGAGAGCAGATTTGATGAGGACTTCAGGGCAGCCAGTCGTGACGACAGACATTTTGTGTGCCCAGTTACACTCAAGAAAATAATGTCCGGACCAGCTCCAGCCCTGGTGAGACACATTTCTAAAGCTTTCAGCTATTCACAACCTTAAGAATCCTGCTGTCCGCTTTGAGATCTTAAAGTATGGTGGGGTTCACCCATACGTCTAATTGCACAACTCTGATCTTGGGCAAAATCGAGCCCAACATCTGGTCTATAATTGTCAATACATGTCTATTTCATAATTTGTAAAATTCAATATAAACGTAAGCCTAGGGCATTGCATTGAAACTAAATTATTTACCCACCAACAAACAGTTCAAATTGAAAAACCCTCACTTTGGGAATCACTGCTCTAGAGTTTTATACTTTTCTGTCACAGTTGTTACTTTTCTGTCACACTCGTTACTATTAAATGTGAAGGTATGCTAGGCTGAATGCGTGGCATGTTTTTCTTTTCTTTTCTTTGTTTAGACGGTTGAGAAAGAAGAAGGATTTAGATCTCCAAAGTTGCTATGTCGTCAGAGCCTGAGCCTGGTTTACAGTACCATTGATGAGAACTACCCAGAGGGCACTTTGCAGCTCCTGTCTGACCTTCTACAGCCTGGTTTCTACCCTCCCAGGGATATCACAGTCCACCTGATGAATGGCATTCTGCTCGACCCAAAGTGTCCTTATCATCTGTGTGTGCAGGCCTTTAGTCTGCTGATGAGGACACAGAGGTGAGGAAACCACACAAATAAGAGTTTATAGTAATGTTTTTATTTTCTAGCCTTTAACCATCCAACTCCCTTTCTGTCTTTGAATTCAAATTAAAACTGCTTTCTGTTTTGTAGACATCACATTGCGGATAATTCGAGAGTTCCATGGGATTGGGAGCTGTTGACCACATGCATGATTAATCAGGTAAAACAATCTATGAATGTACACTAGGTAATATAACAATATACAATACCATTAGTGTTGTTTTACTAAACTATATGAAAGGGATTTTGGTTGTGAAATTGTAGAATCTAAATGGTGTTAAATGTTCTGCTCTAATTGGTCGATTTACAGTGAAGTTGCAAATTCAGAGCTCATTTGAACTCTTACATTGTAGGTACATTAATCACAAATTTGCCTTCTTGTTTTTTTATTCACAGTGGGATTTTTGCAGAAATTTTCTTCTGTGTCAGTTTCATCAGAAAGATGTCATTCTCCAAATATTTAAGCATTGCTGATATTGTCAATTGCAAAAAGAAAAATTAGATCTTTGTTTCGGTCAGTCTCACTTAACAGCCTATCTGTGCTCCTTTTGCTTCTACAGGACAACATGAAGAGACATCAGACTGACGTCTTGCGCATGCTCCTGGAGTATGTTGTGCAGACTTTGGAGGATGACTTCAAGGCCAAACATTCTTCCTCTACCCTACAACACTCCATCGCGAAGGCAACACTGTCATGTGATAAGCAGTTCCCTCGTGTCAAGTGAGTTTGGTTAACAGGGGTCTGTAAAGCATGAAGCGCTGCCAATCATAAAAGTATTCTGCTCTTTATTCAACAGTCTTTATTTACAATGTTAGGAAATACAAAAATTGCTTTGAACGGGTAGGTGTTTGCATTTTCTATTAGTTTTTTTTAACCAAAAAGCAAACATTATTCAGAGAGTGTTTAATTCAGAGGATCAGATCAAAATGTCTGAGCTGCTAACACCATTGCAATGACATAATTCCTCTGTGTGGCTTAAGAGTGACATCCCATATTAAATACATGCCATTAAATGTTTGCTGAAAACACCATCCCTTTCATGTGTATAAAACTTTTTTTAACTTTTACACATGAAATTACACTTTTTATAAAACCAGTATCAGTTGATTGGAAGCTGTACAATTGAAGCTAACCCACAATCTCTCTTCATCATAACATGTACAATAAAATGTAACTTTTGTTTTCTTGTTCGAACATATTGTAAGACATGATAACAATTTCTATGTGTTTTTATTTTAAAATCATCTTTTATTAAAGTAAAATATTTGTATGTTTTATAGGGATGTCATCAAGTGGCTCTTCACAGCCATCGTGAAATCAACAGAGAATGGAGAGAGTAGAGAAGCAGCCAGAGAAAGAGATGAACAAATGAGGTAATAACAAACCCAAAATATATATCTTATTTTTAAGAAGTTTTTTTTTTTAATTAGTTTTTGCTTGGGCAGAAGAACGATTTCTTCATGTTTTTTTTGGAAATAAAAGGTTATATTATTGTTTGTGTTCAATGGTCTTCTTCATATTCCATTTCTTTCTCCTTTACTCCCCTGCAGAATCGTCTACATCCTCCAGAGGATGCTGTCCTTGGCTCTGGAGGTGGACCGCTCTCCAGCGCTCACCTCTGCCAAACTGTCCCAGGAGCTATTCCTTATGCTCATTGGCAGTGTGCACATACGAGCACACAGGTGAGGTGGCGAGATAAGGTTTTATATTTGCCATTTAAGTTCCCATCAAAACAAATCAGACAATATGACATTGCCAATACATGTGGCCTGTATTTATGAACCATTATTTTGCCTTGGCAAATGGAAATCTTAAACCTATTTAATCAATTTAGAAATAACCTTTTGTAATGAATCAATGTATCAATTCAGAATAAACCACTGAGAGAAATTTGTCACTGGCAAAATCTGCTGCAGGTCACTGTTGACTAATCTGTTTCTGACAACCAGGATGTTGTTGCTGGAGTGCCTGCAGAGTAAACTGCTGAGATGTAAGCTGTTGGAACATCTGTTGGACTATGCTTGCCCACTGAAAGTCTCTGTACCCATGTCGCTCAGTCTTTTGCTGCATTTTCTGAAGCACTGCACTCTGGTTCCTGACCCAATGGTGAATATCTCTCTTGTATCATGTTTTCATCTTTGTCTTATTGTCTTCTTCCATTTCTCAATTAAGAAATTGTTAAGATTATTTAACTAAAAGCTTAATGGAAAAGTTTTCAACAACATGTGACTGTTCAATACAATTGATCGGTGATTGACTTTACTAGGACGGAACTGAAAGGTGGAAGAGGTGGGAAGAGTTGGTCCATCTTCTCTGGATGTTGCTGCTCAGCTACAACAAAGCAATGAAAGGTGAGATGTGGTACAGAGTAGAAGAAAAGGGTGCCTTGAGGATGTAGTTGCTGCAGCTGCCAAAGTCATGCTGAACTGCTCCACATTTGTTGTAGTTATTTCATGAGGTTTTGGTCATTATCCCCGTTACACACTTATTTACATGTATTCATTTAGCTGCATGTTCGTTGATTGTAGTCCAGGGGATCCACTTTATGGATTTTTTGCCTTGTGATCCATGAAGCCCAGTATTAAAACATTTAAATGCTGATAGAAGGAAATTTCAAATTGTGCTGCTTTCACATTAATTCTGTCAAATTGAAGAGAGCATCAAATTTTTCAATAAATGTTGGTGTTTGTCTCAGAATTATCAATAGTCATTACACACAGCATCATTAGCTCCCTGGTTTTTCACTGAAATCTAAAACAGAGGTAATAATGTCGAGCCTATCAAGTTTAAATTCAACAACTTTATTGACTAATTCAACTCTTCCTTCTGCCAGGAGGCAGACAGTGCTCAGAGCCTTTGGGAAACCTCAACTTCAGTGACTGCAATATGTGGTGTGTGACTATAAAGGATTGTACTGAACTGTTTAATGGAGTCCTTTTCTACAACGGTGATGGAAGGAGGGGAAAGCTGGAGTTCTTATTTTAGTTTAAAAACAACTCACAAGAACTCTACTGTCTTGTCGTTTCCCCCCCTTTCCTCTTCAGGCTAGGCAATATGGCCTAAGAATAAAATCTCAGATTTTTTCGTACCAAACTCAATTTCCAGTTTGAATAGATTTTTTTTCTTCTTAAAAAAGAAGGTAGCAGGTAAGTTTAGGAGTGGATACAATTCATCATTTAGACACAATTCAAACCGACGAATATGACGGACGTGGATGTAGTGGCAAAGAACATAAAATATGATCATTGTGAGGCAAAATGCCACACGGATAAAGGTTATTCCAAAACGGGGGTGAAGCACCAGCGGATAGCTTGTGCTAGCGTGCGGTAGATTGCATTGTAGGCACATGCAGTAAACGGACACACTAATTCCTACAGTGAGTGTGTGCTTCTGGACCCAGGAGAAAAGGCCCAGTTTGAATGTTGTATTAACAAGCTGCTGCAAACAATGCTCCTGACTCCTCCTTTTAAAGTGCACTATGTAGTTTCAGGCTACAGCAAAAGTTCAGCTGAGGCAGAGCAACTTCTTCAACAAAAGACTTGGCTGGGAAGCACATACATGTACATGGGGTCGATGGTTTTAGGCATGTGGATAAACCAAGGCTTTTTGACTGTATTTATGGGCAGTGGGCACCATACCTTTAGTAATATACAAGACTACTGCATCAGTAATAGCTTTCCATCATGATCCTTTCTTGTCATATGTGACGCAATGGGAAAATTATATGACAAATGTTGGGTGCTTTTTAACAGCTATTTGTGGGCTGTAGTGGTCTTGTGCATCTCATTGTGAGACACATTCCTCCCACCCTGCTGCATGCCTCAGTTTGAGATGGTGAAATCAATTCTAAACTCTTCCTTAATGCTGGCAGCCATGTTGTTGTATGTGTCTCTGTAGGAAGTTAACGAGGGGGGAGGATGTGAACTACAGGTGCCCAAAGGGAGCAGTGGAGGAAGTTAAAGCGAAAATCTAGATTTTTATTTAAAAAAATCATCCTAAACCACAAATAGAAGTTAATTGATTTCTCGTTCAGCCCTATTTCTACTTTAATTACATTATTCTCTGACTTTCACTACTCATTTTCCTATTTGTGTGTTTCTGTTTGTCTCCTGAACTAATGAAGAAACATTTAGCACAATAACCTTCATTCATTTTTTTTATTGTGTCATTTCATTTCAAGTATGTTTGTAACAGTCTATGGCATTTAAATATGGTTTTAATTAATAAATGTTCATGAAAAATTCCAAAAAAAATAAGTAAAATGACTTCACTGTCACAAGCCTAGTTTTTATTCACTCAACTTCTTCATTTCTTCTTCGTAGGATATCTTTGCAGCTCAGTGGTGGAACAAAGCGGCAGAGTTGGCACAACGGTCTTCAAGCAGGATGATATAGTGTCCAAACCTGCAGTTCATGAAGCTATAAAGGCCTTTCTATCAAGATCCCAGGAAGACCTCGGCCAGGCCTTACCTCTCCATGTTGAGGAGTCCCTCACTTATCTACAGGATTACCTGCTAGATGTCTGTCAGTCTTGATTAAAAACACTTGTTGATGTTTTTTTTTTTTTCCTTTCCAATCTGCATTGTGTTAATTTAATATTTATATATATTTTTTAGATTGGATTTTTAATATTTTTTAAATAAAGGCTGGGCCTGGCTGAATTCTTGTTCTTGAAATATAAATCAATTTTGTGCATCTTTGTTTCTATAAGTTACTTAGCGACAATAAACAGGAATTTGTAACTACATATATTGCCAACTCCACAATTTCTAAAACAAGCCAAAGCTAATTGAACCACTTTGTTATCCATCCATATTATAGCCAGTCACTCATCACTTAAGGGTTATATTTACTCTGACTCAACAGCTGGTTGGACCGTCTACGAGCTGACCAATAGGATCAAGCGCTGTTATCGCCAGAGGAAAAAAAAAAAAAAAAAAAATCCTTACAGTCGCCATGATACAGCAGCGGAAACGAGCGAGAAGTAGCTAGAAAACAAAAGAGAACACGCAGTCGTCCTCGCGATCTGGTATGCTCTTGCAGGTAAAAAAAAAAAAATTGGAAACCTTCCTCGGAAATCTGAACCATTTCAGTCATTTCGTGGCCGTCTCACGCAGACGTTCAAAAGCGTCGCTAATTTTCCGACTCCTCCAAATAGGAAGTCGAGCAGCCTTCGAATAATTGGGATATGTTAGCTTTAAGCTAGCAAGCTAACTCAAGCTAAACTAAAAAAAAAAAAAAAAAGAAGCTCACTGTCGCTTGCAATCGCAGCATTTTGTAGCTTTGTAAGCTCCTTTTTGCTCACTTGTTTATCTCGTGTGTCAGGTGTTCACGCCACTAGGGAGCTAGCTAGCTGTAGCTAAGTAATGCGCTGTTTCGAGGCCCGGTGTCAATGCGCAAGTCAGTGCTTTGCTATTATGTAAACAACAATTACATAGCTTCTTTTAAAATCACTTTGTATCTCTAGTGCGAACCAATTTGACACGGTTATAGTTAGCCAGTTGTTAAGTGTCCCTAACTTTGCATTCCCCTTTTTCCATATTGACTGTTAGCATGTGAGCTAGCGTTAGCTATTCAGCGTTTGTTATGTATAGTTTTCAGCCACCTATTTAGGTTAAGCTAGGCTAATTAGCTAGCGCCTGTGTGAAGAAAATAGGCAATATTAGTGATCTATAGCTATTTCTGCTCTTTGTAGACTTATGTTTCAACGCTGACTTATCAAGGATATACACGTTTGTTTTGTAAAAGCCTTGTATTCAAAGATTAACAAGTAGAAATGTTGCAGCACGTTGCAGATTTCAGCGTTGACTATTATGTAACTCATTAAATCACAGCTTTCACATGAAGCCCTTTAAATTGTTAATTGCGTTGCATTATGACCTGTCGGTTTCAGCGTACTACCTTGAAAATACTCTGATTAAAAACGTGTTTTTACTTTTATGGTTGTGTTGAATGTCGTCCACGAACACGTGTACATGCGGTAGCTTCTGAAGGCTTTCCATGTAAATATCATTATCTGTTAATGTCAAGCAGGTGCATCACCTTTCAACTAGTTCACTGTGTTGTAGTGTCAGGTCAATGATTAATTAAGCATACATTTGATGGGAGTATTATGATGTATTCACCCTGGTTATGATTTATATCTAATTATACTTTTTTTTTTCTTTCTCTATAGTGTTATAGGAATGCCCAAGGAAAAATATGACCCGCCGGATCCCAGGCGGATGTACACAATTATGTCAACCGAGGAGGCAGCCAACGGGAAGAAGTCATACTGGGCTGAGCTGGAAATCAGCGGTGAGTTTTTACATAGAGATCCAAGTTTCTGGATAACACAGCTCTTTCAAAATTGTGCTTTTCAGTTGCATGTTTTGATGCTGACATAGTGCTTAATCATTTTCAATGGCCTTCCTCTGTCCCTATGACATGACCATTTTTTTTTTGTATTTCTATCTTGCAGTCTACATGACAGGCACAGATAGTAGCTGGATCTGAATAAAGGAAGACATTGGCTATAAATTTAGTGCTTCACATTGTTGTCTGGTATTAGGCTGCCAGGATCCTGGATTGTTTCTTACCATCACTTGATCTGCCAAATATTTTCCTATTAATTTACTTAGCCCAGGAAAATGTAATTTGATACTGGGAGATGTCCAGCCCAGTAGGCCTAGAGCCCATGTTGAAATTTCTCCCTGTTTGGTTAGACCACTGTTTAAAATCCCAACAATAAAATGCAATTTATTATCTAAAAAACATCCAACTTGTTGTCTTCTACCTTTTGTTTATTGACTAATGGATTCCTTGGTAATCCCTTTAGCTGAAGGTCACAAACTTGAATTTGCAGACTTTAAGAGAGGTCCATAAAAAATCTTTGCACCTCAGATTTAAAGTGGTAGTCACAATCCTCTTGGCTGATGCAGGATTGTCTATTTGTCAAATACTTGTTCTGAAATTAATATAGTCCTAGAGTTATGTTAATTCATTATTTTCAACATCGTAAAATCGTTAACTCTTATTGACCTATCACACCAATTAGTATACTGAAGCTATTCCTCTGTTTTCAAGGCATTTAAAGTTTGATACTTGGACTTAATTCTCGTGTGTCTGTCCTTCCACTGCTTCTGCAGGCCGAGTAAAGAGTCTCAGCACAGCCCTGTGGTCTCTCACCCACCTCACTGCCCTGCACCTCAGTGACAACTCTTTGTCACGTATCCCGCCAGACATTGCCAAACTACACAACCTGGTATACCTGGATCTCTCATCCAATAAGATCAGGAGCCTGCCGTCAGAGCTCGGTAACATGGTGTCTCTCAGGTGAGGGCTTTAAGAATCCTTTTGTGAGTGGAATGGAAAGAAGTAGCTGTCATGTCATTTAGGTTTGGCAATCACAGATGTACATAGGTGCCACTTAATACATTATACACTGTTAGTTTTTCTTGATCTCATTGGACTTCTTCTGCCATTTGATATGATTTTATAATCTACAAGCCTATCTAATTTAAATGTTTCAGTTAAATGTAAGAAGTTGCCATTAGCATTATGTCAAGAGTTGACAAATACTGGTACGTGTTGTGTTTGAAAACAAATACATACAGGCTGGTTCTTGATGATCAAATCCCCCTGTATCCTCCGCAGGGAACTGCTTTTAAATAACAACCAGTTGCGGGTTCTGCCATTTGAATTGGGGAAACTGTTTCAGTTACAAACACTGGGGTTGAAAGGTGAGTGCCTTATCAATGATTTCTGTAGCCATTCTAGCCCTGAAATCCCATTGTTCTCTTAGCAGGGATTCAACGTGGCTTGCTTTTCCATTAACAGGAAACCCACTTGCACAAGAAATTATGAGCCTCTACCAGGAACCTGATGGCACGCGGAGACTGCTCAACTACTTGTTAGACAATCTGGCAGGGGCTATCAAGCGCAGTGAGTCCACCTCCAACCCTCTCCAATATTTTAAGACTTGAATCTCATATTGCCCCTCTTTCCCCCTGAGTGATAGGTTCATCTGTTAACACTTAAGATGGGGACATGCATAGCTTATTTGCCCCTAACATTGTTGAAGTCATTGTGTGGCATCTGTGTTCATGTCGTCTTCCATACTGAACCACTTTCTTCCCTTTGCTCAGTACCAACAGAGCAGCCCCCAGCTCGGTCATGGATCTCAATTCAGGAACCAGATCGAGCGCGGGATTCAGGTGAGGACAAGATACACAAAGCATGAACAGACTCATCTATATAATGATATATATGTGGCAGATCGCATAAATATAGTCAGATTATGTATCCACAAGCATTTACTTGACAATTTTTTTTCTCAACTTTTTTTTTTAATGAACATGTTGAACAGTCAAAAGATCGCATACATCAATGTATAAGAGATAACTACAGAAATAAATATATATACATGCTTGTATGATTATATTTATATCAGTTTATCAAAATCAAGATGCTAGAAAGAAGATAGGATATACGCACAATATTTCAGTATTCTTCATTGGTTGCACATTGAACCTGATTCATACTAACAGAACCCACACTGTAGCCTTCATAAGGGACCTCCACCATTGGGAGCATTTCAACTGGTTGCTGGTTTGTTTGTGCAACCTGTCAGATATACAACCAGAACCAGGTCTGCACAATAAATCTCTTTTATTGTTATTGCAGTATGAACATTTCCAAGAAACACATTGCAAAAGTCATTTTTGTTTCTAAGAAAACAATATTTTAGTTTTAACAAGCCATGATCTCACTCTGCCTGTGTACATTAACCCTGTGTGTTACGGCCAGGCACTAATGCAATTTTGATACAATCACATGAAGCGCATGCTAGCTCTAAGCTTTCCTCAGATTTATTGGTGCCTAAAAGTGATACTTCATTTAATGAAAACTGAGATCATCATATTGGAGCTGAAGCTATGAAATGATAAGCAACAGTTAGTTTTACTGAAAACACTGCACCTTAAAATATAAACACACCAAAAAGAATTTGTGTTGGAGCTGAACTTTACTCATTTATGGACTTTTGGTGTAAAGGCAAGAGAATCAAATCATCATCCAGCTTCCTTGGTGTTTCTAAAACATGTCCCTCTGTCTGTTTCTCCCTGCAGCGCTGTTCTCTGTGATGTGCTACAATGTGCTGTGTGATAAATACGCCACACGACAGTTATATGGCTACTGCCCCTCTTGGGCTCTGAACTGGGAGTACAGGAAGAAATCCATCATGCAGGAGATCCTGGGCTGCAGTGCAGACATCATCAGTTTGCAGGTGAGAAATAGACGTCAAAGTATGTGTTGAAGTTTTTGCAAAAATAGCTTATCCATTTTTTTAAATCTCAATGCAATCATGAAGGAGAGTCAGAGATGGGGTTAAAGGTAGCAGGACGTTTGTTTCATACATGACCCAGTCTGAGCAGCCCTGCACATTGTTATGCAGTTCAATAACCCTTCAATACATGCTCCCTTTGTGAAGCACTGTGGTCTGTGTTGAGACTGATGTTTTGGTTTTGTCATGGCACTGGAATAGGTCAGAATGTTTTCAGTGTTATATAAGACAGTAATTAATGTACAGTTTACATCTTTTGTAACACTTTGTGATGCTTGTAGGTGTTTGGTGCTCTCATCTTGGTCTGTGTTGTTTGAGTTCTTCAACACAGAATTAAAAAAAAAAGTAAAGTAAGCGAGAGGAGATGCATTACACCAGATTTAGGTGATTACCTTAATTCCATCTACAGTCCCTGGACAGGTTAGAAATCTTGAAAAGCACACAAATTCTTCTTTGAAAAATATAGGAAGAATTATTCCCCCAATAAATCGCCTTTTTGGATTACAAGACTGTCAGCCTATCCCGATTTCTATCCTGACGCATGTTTTGTGTTGATAACAGGAAGTTGAAACAGAACAGTACTACAACTTCTTCCTGCCTGAGCTTAAGGAGCAGGGATACGAAGGGTTCTTCAGTCCAAAGTCACGAGCCAGGACTATGTCAGAGTCAGACCGCAAGCACGTGGACGGGTGTGCAATTTTCTACAAATCGGAAAAGTATGTATCCAAAATTTAGTTGTTTATTGCCCTGTGGTGTTGTACCTTGTTGACTTGCATTTAATGGAGTTACATTTTAAAATGTTCTTTTTTCCAAATCACAGGTATCACATGCTTGTAGCTCTTAGAACAAAAGGAACAGTACCAACTAAAATAAGACATAATGCATGTCAAATAGACCTGTGAATTTGCATCATTAATTTAAGCAGATTGAGCTTTCTAGAAAATTTAAATCAGTTAAATATTATATTAAATAGGAAAATGATCCTACACAAGATAATCTATATATCGTCTAATTTCCTGTCTGTGATTTGTGTTTATCATGTGTATTCAGCATCTTTTGGATCATTTCTTTCCATTAAGTTGTTGCGTTAGAAGTCTTTCAGTCCAGGTCTTATCTTACTAGAAAAAGTTTCTGTATGTTTGTGGCGTTTGAGGTGGATTGTATATTGTTTTTCTATCAGCTGGATGGAACTATTGCTGACCTACCAAACCAACTCCATTACTTTGCAGATTTGATGGTCTGAGGTTTTTTTTTTTTATAGCGTGCAGATGGTGATACCAGTGCATCTAGTTAACATGTAGATAATGGGGGGCCAGATGCTGTAACATGAAAGGTGTTGATCAACATTGATTCACGTCTGGATCGCAATAATTCATTTCCAAGATTCTGAATCGATTCAAGATTCACGAGTCCACAAATTGATTTTTCAAAACGTATTTTCTAAAGACACAAGTCCATTTTCACCGTTAGGGCTCACACTGGCCATCCGTACCGTGCCCAAGCATGCTTCAACCCTGAAGTCCAGTTCGTTTGGCCAGTGTGACCACTCCGTGCTCAGGCACGGTACACTTCCTTGGCTTTGGCACACTTCATGCACGAGCACAAGCACGCAGGTACACAACGCTAACGGCCTTCATTATCGAGAAATCCAGAGTTTCATGTCTGTATCTGACTAAAATGAAACAATATAAGCCACAAAGTAGCTGTCATGTTCTCTGCGTTGTTCTCCGATGTGCGGCCGCGGACTCGCCCAAGCATCTATTTTATTTTTTAATTTATTTATGGCTGTATCTGAATTAAAATAAGCTGAAAAGTAGCTGTCATGTTCTCTGTGTTGTTCTCCGATGTGCAGACACGGACTCGGCTGCGCGTCTCTCAATTTTTTTTTTTTATTCCTGGACTCCGCCTTTTTGTAAACATAAACAACATAACATAAAGCATGCATGTGTTGTATAACGACATTAAGTACAAGATGCTTGAGTGGCAGATGGCCAGTGTGACCGCGCCCTTAGCCAGTTACGGCATGGTATACCTGCTGCTGGCATTTTCCTTCGTGCACCCTCTCAACCTTCCTTGTTACTCTGATTCAGCAGGGGGCGTGTTAGCTCTCAATGTTGGCAATGTTATGGCTGTGTCCGACATAAGTTACATACTGAGTGTGAAGCAGTAAGACATTCAGCCCATTATCTTTTCATTGAAGACACGCATTGGAGAGCATTTTGGATTCTATAGTCTCCTGGGCAAGACGAAGCTTGACCCAACGTATTTAATATGCAGTTTCTGCAAAATGAAAGTGAAGCACTTCAGGATGACTCAAATCCAAGCTCACTTTATATGCCACCAGCAGGAGTTACAATAACCGTAACAATTGACAACAACATCTGAATGATGCACACAGCATCACTTTATTGATCTGCCAGCCAATTCTGAACAGACAATAAGAATAACGAAATCCATAGTCTGTTTCATTTCAACCTACCTGCTCTCCTACAGCTGTGTCAAAACTTCAGATTGGATTCCGAAGTTTCTGCTAAATACTCACACCCACTCAAGCCCACAGCTTTTTATTAATATTAAAGTATTTTGAATGTTGAGGTTGGGTTGGGAACTCTCTCCAGATACACTTTTTAAGATTTGGTTGAAAATGTCTTTAGGTTATTAATGTCTACAGACATTAATAACTCATGTGCTCTGAAAAAGGAACAAAGAAAATCTGTCATATGTAGCAGTTATAAGCCTGTAAAAACTTTGACCAATGTCTGCACGAGGTACCAATTTGATGAACCAATCACATCTTTGTCTCCCTGCTTGTTCTCTACCCCTAGCGGGCATTAGCCCACACTCGAAGCGCATCACCGATGACAGAGTTTATACTGTGTATACTGTAGTAAAATAGTCGGGTTTTATTTTGACGTATTATGATAAATATGAGATACCGCCGCCTGCTGGCATAGATAGTTATTTTTATCTCAAGCATGCGCAGAACGTATGTGGTGATTTGCCGTCAGCTGTAGTCTTTGCGGGGTGTTCTAGTTGCAACTTTTTGGCGAAGACAAAAGGCGACATGAGGAGACGCCACTGGCGGCCTTCGTCACCTCTAGTTCTTTACCGTCTTCGCGATGTGTCTGGGCCTTTAGTGCTCATTGATAGTTGGCCAAGTTGTGCCAGAAAATCCCACTGCTTCTTCAGGATTCACACCCTGAACATTATTTTCACGCTTGACTCCAAACTGAGAAACTGTTGATTGTCACTGACATCTATATAGTTTATGGTTTAGGTAATGAGTGTTGATGTTTACAGAAATCTTAACGTTAGACTTTGTTGAGACAACAGTTAATTTCACATTAAAGGTGAAAGACCTGAGTGTTTGATGCTAAAGAGTGGAGGGCTGATTATTGTAAGGACCTCATGATATTATATGTATTACCATACTTAGTACTGCATTACTCTGCATGATTTACTGAACATTTAAAGTAGAGCTGAGAAAAAGGCTTGTGTAAAAAAAGACTTCAATTCAAAATGTCTGATACAATTAACTAAAACAGTGTTTTCACAACACCATCATTTAAAACTTGAATATGAAACATGTCAAATTAAGCTAAATCAATACATGGTTGATACCTCAGGAAACAAATGTATAAGCCTTTGGCCCACAAAATAGTGAACTCTCTAGTTTTTCATTACCAGCCTACACACAATGCTGCTTCAAAAACAGTCACTGAACACATGCACATTGTTTTCAGTAACACAAGACAACATGAGGAGGATTTCCCCTAAAGTTCTGTTGAAGACCCGTTATGTTTCATCTGCATACACCATGGCCTCTCTGTATCTTTTGAGGTTTCTCATCATGTTGCCACGTTTGGGACATTTCTATGTCAGTCATAGTGCAGAGGTGTAGAGAACTCAGCAATCACTACACAGGTTGAGACTGAATCAAAACATAGTGATGGGGTGACATTGCTGCCTCTCTCCTGAGTCAGTCTGTAACTTATGCATCTTAATGAGAAGCCAAAAGAACTTTGCAAATATATTTTATTTCCAACCTATAATTTCTGTGACTAGCTAAAGGATTGACGGTAGGGCTGGGAATCTTTGGTTGTCTCATTGGTCAAGATTAGTTCAGAATCGATTTTCAATTCAAAACGATTCTGGATTTTTTAAAAATTAGTACATACTTCAGGATTTACTCCAGTCATCTGTGAGCTAATAAAGGTGGTGTGGTATTGCATGAAAGTGTAAGATTAAATTTTCATTATTTGAAAAGGTTTTATACTGATTGCAATAATATAAAAAGGCAAATGTTAAGACCAAAGGTAACATTTATTATGCTCAACTTGCAAAAACATTTAGTATTTCTCAATTCTCACTCAGTCAGTGGTTTTAAGAATAACAAGTTATGTAAAAAAAACCTAAAATGGTATTGCATAAATTCAAATTGGCAGACTTAGGCTAGCTGCCATTATTTCTTAGAAACTTGCTATTTTAGAGTGAAACACCTCGTTCCCATTAATGGAGGTGTGGCTTTCATACATTAATCTAGTTTGCAAAACACGAGATTCGAGCTGCCAGGTATCCATGATGTAGTGAGCGGTGAATGTGACGAAGGGCTGGGTTGCTCTTGATGTCCATGCATTGCAGGTAAGAGCTACCTTGGTGGCTTTAGTCAAAGCCTCTGCAACTTTGTCTTAGTCTCTTTGTAAAGCTGTGGTACCATTGTTTCAGAAAAAAACGTACGGGATGGTATAGCGTACTTCGGCTCCACTGTGTTAATCATAAATCTAAATCCTTCATTTTGGACCACGCTGTAGGGGCGCAGGTCCTTTGAGATGAAACAGGCGATGGATTTCGTGATTCTTTTTGCCCGTTCAAAGTTTGCTAAAGAAGTGCAGTGTGGGTAGCTCTGCTGTTGGTGTTGGTCCCCGTTGTTCCTCTTTCAACTCGGGGTGATGGCGTATGATGTGAGAGCGGGCGTCCGTCGTGTTTCCGAAGTATTTTACTTTCATTTAGCAAAACCTGCATATTGAATAAATCCTGTCCAGCTCAGTCTTCCCCGGGAGGTTGTAAAGTCCAAAGTGTGCCCAAACACCTGCCTTCAATGACGACATGACTGGCTGAATTTCTCGCTGCTCCATTCTGAGCCTTAACAGTGTTTAGCCGTGGTAGCTTGCTCTATTGAAGCTGCGTAGTGCTATGGCAAGACAGAAGGTGTTTGAAAAAAAATCTATCTTTTGAAATTATGAATCGATTTAAAATCGCTGAGGACAAGAATCTCGATTTGTTTTTACATGAATCCATTTTTTTGTCCCACCTCTAATTGACAGGCTGGTTCAATAGTTCTTGAGAGCCCGACTGTTGTGAAACAATCTTATTTCTTCCCTTTGCATCTTTATTTACGCTGGCTTCACTTAGCCTGCTGCTAAAACTACAAGTTTGAAACTGTAAAAAATCTGAAAACATGGAGTCAGAAAGAAGGAGGCTCAGCAGCCTCTGTAGCTGTTCACTTCTCTGCTAGAGGTCAGCAGCCGGAGGAGACATCAGCTGCTACTAGCGTAACATAGAGATGTTACAGTGTCGATAAGAGAGGCTTAGGTTTCGCTCAATGAATGGGAAAATATGTATAGCCTCAAATATAAAGGATCCAATTGTGACTGCTAATTGCCTTTATCATTGGTAATGTCACACTCTTCAGACTCTTGATGATGTACAGTAAATCCATTAAGTAACACTATATATACACAGTGTGTGTCTATATATATATATATATATATATGTGTGTGTGTGTATATAAGTAATACATTTTAATCACTTCAAACATCTAATATGCAAAGTAACTCTACAGGAACATAGGTACAAATCTGTACTTCTGTTCCTTTATTGTAGAAGGTTATCAGTCAAAGTAGTTTTTGTCTAAAACTTTAATTATGAGAAACATTTTTCAGTGTTTTAAATACATCAGCATGAAAAGTGATATGAGGCTTAAGCATCATCCAAAGAGCAGTAGGGAATCAAGCTATTCCTGTAGTGCACAGGCAGAGGAATCATCATTGTTTTAGGTGGATACTATTACTTGTTTAAAAAAAAAACATGAAATGCACAAGAGTCTGTAAGTCTATTCACATCTTTTTGTCATTTTACTGTGGAGCCATGTCATTGCTGTTATTTGGTGTTTAGAGACATGTCTGTCCAATTTAAGGTAGAAGGGGGAAGCAATTTTATTTCCCTGTGTTCGCATTGAAGTCATGTTTGCACAATGTTCTGTTTCTTCTGATTTTAAGTTGTTAGGTTTTACCTTATTGACCATGTTTAGTTTGTATGTTTTGATTTGCCATGCTGCATTTTCTGATGTGATTACTGATGTTGAGCTCTGTCTGTGTCCTTCTGTTTATCTCCAGGTTCAGCGCAGTGCAGAAGCACACAGTGGAGTTCAACCAGCTGGCCATGGCTAACTCCGAGGGCTCCGAGGCTATGCTGAACAGGGTTATGACAAAAGACAACATCGGGGTGGCCACACTGCTTGAGGTCCGCAAAGAGATGATGGAGGCCTCCTGTGAGTAGAAAACACATACTGATCTTTAATATTCTTCATATTAGGGTGTCTGGCTTTTCTTGTTCAGCTGTGTTTTTCTCTTCAGATCTTTTTATCCTGCTAATCCTAAATTGATTTATGCCTGAATCTAACTGTGAAGCCGGATTAACAGGACGGGATAGTTATTGGTGTGACTGATCTTATAGCAGGGTACTCATGTCCATTTTAATAACTCCTTTTTTCACTTCTTCCTGATAACCGTTACCCTCCTTCCAGCTGGAAAGTCCCTCCATGGCATGGAGAAACAGCTGCTCCTGGTAGCCAATGCCCATATGCACTGGGACCCTGAGTACTCTGACGTCAAGCTGGTGCAGACGATGATGTTCCTGTCAGAGGTGAAGAACATCGTGGACAAGGCAACACGCAGCCTCAAGTTGTCATCGGTCTCTGGTGAGACCAACGCCATTCCACTGGTGCTGTGCGCTGACCTCAACTCTTTACCTGACTCTGGTAAGTGAGAAGAGCTGATGGACCACCAAGAGTCAGTCTCTAAAGAAATGGGCGTGCACTGAAGATGCTAAAACCTTATAATTGTAGTGCCATACAATATGTGAGTAGAGAACAGGAGGAGCAACACGTTTCATCATAACCTGGACAAATCAACTTTGCTTGGTCACTTTAATGTCATCACTCATTTTTAACAATGTTTAAAGATATGTTTAGTGTCCATGACGAGTCCAGTTATAGTAACTTCTGATTAGATGAAAGCTTGCAGTCCTGTGCTGTCTGCAGGGCCTAAAGTACTCCCGCACCGTGCCAGATCTCCGACGTGAGTGGAAAAACAAAAATAGAACAAAAATAAATGCATGTGGGAATTTGTTGTGACTGCGCTTGATGAAGTTCGGCTCACTTGAGTTCACCTATGTCAGTAATGCAGCTCTTGTTCTCAACCCAACACACGTTACTAGCCGATCAGAAACAGTAGGGCAGGTTTTGGCAACACTCGAGCTGGGGGATCTAGCGATGTAGCACGTTATGCGAGGCGCGCCGTCTAGGTATATTTTCCGCCCATATGATCGGCATTGAAGACCATTTAACTAGTAGGTTATCGATCTCCGTCTTTGTCACAGGTCTTTATACTCTGCAGGGGACCAGAGAGATGTCCACTGCACTGTTAGGTCTTTGAATGCAAAACACAAAACTACAAACGATGTATTTTCCCGTTTTCAGAAATTAATCAAATTCTAGAGTATGTTTAAATGTTTTTTATCTAACTAGTATGTAAACAAACCAAAATAATGTCACACTAAATACTAAATTATAAATCAGCTATACATAGACTAGTTGTATAAAAGAAATTGTTTCTGCAGGGCTGGAATAGTGCAAAAGCACTACAACTCTCCAGTCCACATGTTTATAAAAGTATTCAAATAAATGCATTCTTTATTGTATGAAGAAAAAAAGATTGGATCATAACTATAAAGTTTTGCAGAAAATGCACACATTGGTGAATAAAAACTGATCACAATGCAGGAAAATAAAAGTGCGGTGCTCAAAAGGGGCCTCACCTGTTGTATTAAACAGCAAATCATTTACCCCTGCTTTCACTATTTTGATCAGTGCGCCGCTTGAGTGTTTTGCAGTGATATTGGAAAGAGGGTGATCTCTTTGAGAAGGGTGATTGTATGACTGTTTTGTGTCACAGCTTCGGATAGTACTAACCAACAATATAGAAAATATCTGCAGTACAATTGGCAGTATGTATGCTAACAGAAGGAACAGTCTGGGCCTCTTGACTTTTTCCCTGATTCTCATGAGGACACCTGTCATCTCTCCGCTCTGTCCAGGTGTTGTGGAGTACCTCAGTTCAGGTGGAGTGGACTGCACCCACAAGGACTTCAAGGAGCTTCGATACAGTGACAGTCTGACCAAATTCAACTGCAATGGCAAGAGCAGCACGTCCAACGGCAGGATTACCCACGGCTTCAAGCTAAAGACCGCCTACGAGAATGGCCTGATGCCTTACACCAACTACACCTTTGACTTTAAGGTGATTGGACTGACAGTAGAAGTTCATGATGTTGTTGGTTAAAAATGTGCTTCTAGTACACATTCTAAGTAAATGAAGCAATACCTATCTTATACATTACTGTTTAGTTGACCCCCCTCTTCTTCTCTCCCCAGGGTGTCATCGACTACATTTTCTACTCGAAGCCTCACCTGAACGTGCTGGGTATCTTGGGCCCCCTGGACCCCCACTGGCTTGTAGAGAACAATGTCAGCGGCTGCCCACATCCCCACATCCCCTCCGACCACTTCTCCCTCTTCGCCCAGCTGGAGCTGCTCCTGCCCAATTTGCCCCCCCAGGTCAATGGGCTCCATCTGCCTGCACGCAGGTAGTGAGTCCCTGCCGCACCACCAGGGGGAGCTGCCACCACAGCCACCCCTTTTTTTTCAGCCGCCCTCCTCCCTCCCACTACCAGCTCTTCCTTCCACCACAGAGGAGGAGGAAGACAAAAAAACACAACCTGTAAAATATATTCGTACAGTGAGGTCTGGCCGACAGGGATTTCGTAAAATGTTATAGATATTCTATATTTTTTTCTTTTTTCTTTCTCTGTTTTTCTTTTTGTTCTTTTTTAACTGCTCAATTCAGTCCTGTTTGTGTATCATATTTTGTGTTTTGGACTCCCTTTTTCCTCCTGAATTCCACCCACCTACCCACTTTGCTTCTGTCTTTCAAACTAGAGGGGATGGTAGCTCATTCAGATTTGTCACATGGGGCGCTGTTTGGTTTTTAAGAGCAACAAGGAAACCTAAAAGTGTCTGAGAGGATGATATTGACCAGAAAAGCTGATAGTCTGCCTGTCTGTCTGTCCTGTATAAATCTGAAACCAGCAAAGACAGCAGACTTGTCAGTCTAAGACCTCCATCATTGGCTTTTGCATGTTTTCTCCGGTACTCTCTCAGTGGTTATATGATACAAACATTTGTTGTTGTTGGGTTAGAGCAGCTTTAGCTGGTAGTTAAACATCCCCGGAGGTGGATGTAGCGCAGCTCGCACGAGGTGAGATATCCTGCTGTCATTCAGTGGTGCTGAGGCCTTTTGTGTGGTCATGGCCTCCCATGGTGCTACAAGATAGTCTTCACCTCTGACCCTGATCCCTGCTGCATCAGCTACCAAACCCACAGATGCCTCAAAAACCAGACGTCCAAGGACTACACTTGTCTGGTTTTTACATCGGCGGTGTTCAGTGTGAAATTTGTGTAGGAAGGATATGTGAGAAACTGAGAGCAGCTACCATCCTGTTTGCAGACTGTTTTCACCCCAGCTTGTATAGATGTTAGGCTAGTCTTGTGCTTAGGAGCTCACCGTTTTTTGGTCGAGGGTACAGGGGATTTGGGCTGATGGGCAAAGCGTTGAGGGGTTTTCACGAATCTTTTCTTTGTCTTGATTGCTTTTATAGGCAGAGAGAGCGAGTCATTGCTGATACACAGGAGTAAAAAACCAGCATTCCTCTCACTGTCTGGAGTTGCCATCTGACTCCACACATGCAAGCTTACACACAGACACAGACACACACACACACACACACACACACACAGACACACACACAGACACAGACACAGGTAATTTTGCAGGCAGATCTGTAGCACTGTCTCTTGAGGCCAGTAGTGACTTTCCCCAGCCATAAAATCCATACACGAAAAGCAGTGGTTTTTTTCACAAGTGTTTGTACAGAATAGAAATCTAGACTCAGTCTTTACATGATTGTATATGAACCACAAAAGACCTGTTTTCTGGCGTTTTTTGTACTAAGAGTAAATTATGATCAGATTTGAAAAAAAAAAGCAGATTGTATTGTAAACTATGGCTAAATTTTTATCCAGTTAATGTTAAGATGAATTGATATTACCAGCTTGTACAAAAGACGTAAGAAGAGGTTGTTCAAGGCGTTCGCTGTCACTACTTTGCACTCCCTTGAGGTTAACTGTAATTAATGTATCAGTATTGTTTTGTTCTCTCTCCCCCCCCCCCCCCCCCCACCCCACACTTCTCTCTGCTGTTGGTTTTGATTTGCCGGCACATTGCTGCAATTGTAAATAGACACTTGAGTAAACTTCTGCCTGTTGCTTCCCATTAACAAAGCCATTGATCCACACTGCTGCCATCAGTCCCGACAATAAGAACCCTCCAGTGATTCCACATCTGTTCATGTATAGATCTCACACTCACTCCCATTAGTGACGCGTGACCGATACAAAATCCCACCTGTATAACTAAACATTGTGCCTCACTGTAGCAGTTGTCGTTGTCTTGCACTATTTTACATTTGACGAACGCCTGAACAACCTTTTCTGCTTTTATTTTTAAATACTGTTGAGACATTTGTGAAGATTTTATGTCCTTTTATTGGTTTTTGTTAATGTTGATTTCCTTTTTTATGAGCTGTGACAATGTTATGACGATGTGTATATCCTTCCTATTCATCAAGCTCTCTAGTAATCAGGTATGCTATCTTCACCCATCCTCTCTCTTCCCCTCAAAGAACACGGAGTAGGATGTCTAATCTTTATTCAATCCACTCTTCCTGTATTGTTTTGATCCCTCTTTGTACCTTAGCACAGCTCCATGCCCAGATCCCCCCCAAAATTCGCAGCCCCCTTGGCTCCTTCCCTGGCCCTGAATTTTAAATCACCTTAAGCCTGTCTGTCACCCCACACCCCCACCCCTGAACCGCCCAACCTCAGACTTTGTTGACCCCCTTTTCTTACTCAAACTGTGTCCTTTAAACCCTTTTGCTCAACCACTTTGTATAGTTCTTAACCCCTCGTCATTGCAGCTATAGTGCCATCTGTGGACCCCCTACCTCTGTATGGGAAAGGTGGAGGGCCCACTTAGCTCTGCTTTGAGATGAAGGGGGGAGGAGGGGCAGTTAGCTCAGCTATTTCTCTCTCTCTGGAAAGCCGGACAAACACATCCCAAACAAACAAGCAAAGTCTATCAGTGGTTAGCCGATTGTTTCCACAGCAATGCTTTTACACAGCTACGACGGATCATGAGCACTTATTAAATTCAGATGCAGCTCCCCTCACTCCTTGTTTCATCTTGTTAGCAAACAAAGATCTCATTACTCTAATGTATATGTTGAAAATGAAATTTTAAAAGCAAGAGGGAGGCAAGAAAATAGGAAGTGTAAGTTAAGACCTCAGAACAACGTCTCTTGTCCCGTTTCTTTCCCCCTTCATGTTTTTTAACCTTTTTTTTTTTTTCTTTGTTTTCCAATGGAAACCAATGTGTCCAGTTTGATTTATTTTTTTCTGAATGGCATTAGTAATGTAGTAGATTTAAAGGCTAGCTTTTTTTGTAAAGTGTGAATAAAAGATGTATCTCATGTTTCCTTTCTAAAAAGATATTGAATTGTGTTGTTGATGTGTAAATCATGAATTCTATGACGGTGTTCTGTTTGCTGCTTTGTTTAGACTTTTACGCCGATATATTTCTTTCCCCATATACTCCCCATCACAAAACCAAATCCTCTGTAGAAACCATGAGACATTGTCTTGATGAGTTGAATGTTCCTGATGATGTCTCGTAGAATGAAGGATTGAGCGCTTATTGGAGGAAGAACAACCTGTATCATTGGTATCAGTAAAAACTTTCAGCACAGGGATATTCAGTTTTTGTTTTCTTTTTTGTTTTTTGTTGACTTCTCAGCTTTATGTTGGATGTTGGCACTAGCTGGAGAGTGCTGGTTCCTGTAGGTTAGGGCAGCAGAGCTGTCTTACTCATGGCTGCAGTTCAGTTCTAGAGAAAACTGTTCTGACCGGTGTAAAAACGTGTTTGTAAGACTAAGCTAACCACCTGCCGCTGTTTACTTTACTGGTCCTGTGACGATTTTGAGTACTACTAGTCCATCTTTCTATTTTTGTGCATCACAGTGAAAGTAAAATCGATTACACTAGCTAGCTACTGTTGATAGTCACTGATTCGACTCTATTCCGTCGCCCCTCCCCGTCTCATCCCTCTCCCTTGTTAAACTTCAGACTATGGCTTCAGACTGAGAATCTGGCGAATCACACGGCCGAGTTATGTCACCTTGTGAGCCTCGGCGAGTGATCACGTTGTTATCTTTGTACTTTTCAACTGTTGCATTGTGTTTCATAGTTGGCTTGTTAGGCGTAGGACGATTTCCCAGGCTGCATCTCTTTGTAATGGTGCACACCAAAGCTGCTTGTAGTTGGGTTCTCTGTTGTAGAGCGACTTCTTTTCAACCACCACCCCAATCATAGTCTTCATGAAATGTTAGGGCTGCTAAGGAAAGCACGGTACTTTTGTCCTTTTCCTTGAATCTCACAAACACCTTATATCCATATTCCTGTTGGTTTCATTTTTGAATGCATCCTTTTTCCCCCAAAACACTTGGCAATAATACCCAGAAACATTCAGACACATTCAGAATGGGGTTTTTTAAAAAATATTTTACCTGGAGATAAAACAATGTAGCTATTACATCTTAAGATCTGTGGTTGTATTCTTTGTTTTGTTCTTGAACTCAACATCTTCAACCTTCTAGACCCCAAAAACCCCTTTATAGAACCATCCTGTCTTTTATCATCCATCTTGTATATTTCTCATCCACCCCTGCCGATCTAGTGTTAGTTGTTCAATGATCAGGATTGTCTTTCTGTAGTCAGCTGAGTACATATATTGATCTGTGTCACTGTGTTTATGCACTGGACCAATTATTGTTTACCATTCATGAAATACCAGCAAAAAAAAAAAAAAGAGAAGAATAACGACAAAACACTTGCACAATGTTGTAGAATGTCCATTAACCAAGGTGAGAAATCAAGGCAGCTGTTTTCAAATCAACACATACTGTTTTAAAAAGAAACTGAATGGTAAACAATGCTTTCTGTTCTACCCCTTAGCCGTCCTCTTGATTCTCTTTGGACTAGTTTTGTTTCTTTTGATTTTACTTCTTCCGTTTGACTACAGGTTCTGCTTGTTTCCTTTACACCTACCTATGTATTTTCCTACTTCTGGTTGAAAAATAAATTCTATATTATCTGTTTCAAGCTGTGTCACCTTTTATTCTTTGCAATGGATATTGAAAATAAATTCTATATCTGTTGTCCTTGTATTGTCTCCTTTGCTTCCTCGTCAAATTCTTTCCTCTCTCTTTATTTTACACATTGTGATGTTTATGTTTTGTTTTCTCCCCTCCCTTGGCCCAGTGACCTTAATAACCTTTCAAAATGGACCAAACAAGAAGACTACTATGTTGCAAACCCTCCTAATTTTACACTTCTCCCACTATAACAGCAGTGTTAAGTGATTTAGAGATTCATGTGTCAACAGCTGGTGGAGGATGGATTATGATGTCCAATGAAGTGCAAGCTTGCAGCCTAATCGAATCAAACAGCAGTTCAATGAGCCGATGTGAATATTTGTGTGTGTTTGGTAGCAATTAAAACCTTGGTACACTAGTGAGTGACAGACTGATGTGTTGAAGAAGCCATCTTGGTTAAAATCTCTATCAGCAAGTACACTCCCACTGAAGTGTCCTTAAACAAGACACCAAAGTGTAATCCGCACCCTTGAGCCAAGTCTTACCTTTGCTTTTCCTCCAGGATGACAAATGAAAAGTGGATATCCCATCAGGGATCAATAAAGCCTAACATTAACATTTAATACCTAAAATAGCCTGAGGATTACCTTAGTGTGTTCTTATTTGTAGACACACGGTGGAGCCAGAGGATCATCTCTGAACAGGCTCTGAAAACTAATCCGACCATGTCATGTAATAAAGGAGTTACGATGCCAGGTCTGAATGGTCCTCTGATGGCTCATAACATCAGCTGGAGTGAATTTAAAGGGAGCGGGAACAGTGTGAGACAGGAAGTTTAACTGCAGACTTTAGTGCAAAGCACTGCAGGAGCTAAATAATTATCCTCTGAGATTATTTTTTCAAACAGCAGTAAAGTGGAAAGGATATATAATGATGTAACATGTACGTTAGTGTTTTTTATGTCTAACAAATAGAGTATAAATATTATACTTATTATTGTCACACGTTTTCTAGATTTACTTTGTTCTCTACATCCAGTGTAGTTGCTACAGTATAACTCATATATTAATGTATGATAAGGTTGTCAGATAGTTTAGTGGTTGTATCCCGCTCCCCATGTAAAGGCTATAGTCCTCCAAGCCTGCGGCCGGGGTAAAACTTCGATCCTCTGTACATCATTCCCCACTCTGCCATCTTGGTTTTACCTACTCCTCTCTGCAATAAAGGCCTATAAAGCGCCCCCCTCAAAAAAACAATCTTCCAAACAATGTGTAATTAATGTCAATCAATCAATCATTATTTGTATAGCGCCAATTCATTACGAATGTTATCTTGAGACGATTTACAAAAGAGCAGACAAAATACCTTACTGAAGGTGTAAATTTGTTTCTTTTTTACAGTAAATAGGGCAGCAACTTCTTACATAATGGTCATTTGAGAACAAGACATCAACATTGTACTAATCTATTTTCTAGGCTTTTGTATTTTTTAAAAGGTGATTTTTGAACTCGGGAGGGATGATCAATAACAAAAAAGATCAGATCAAAATCAAGGTCAAGGTAAACTTTATTAACCCCGAGGGGCAATTTGCTTTACATCATTCGATAATATCAGAAAGTTTGCCTTGTCTGACTCAAGTGACAGACTTTCCAACAACTCTAGAATCAAGCAGCCTTTAGTCAATGTGGTATTTGTTGAGGTCTGTTTGTTGTGTTGGTGAATGTTACAAAGTAAGTAGCCAAATGTTCAGCAGGATTTACTGGTTGCGGAACAAATTGCTGCAACCGTGTTCATGAAGTTAGCACCGACTTATTAACAGACTTTCGGGGATGTGAGCCTCAATCTCTCCTCCGGAAAGGCGACACGTGTGATAAAGTGGAAACCTGAGAGACTTGTGCTCAAGTGCAAAAAAAAAAAACCAACAACCTTTAACAGATGTCCAGAGAGGAGACAGGAACAAACAATGATAATATAATAAGAAGTGCTGCAGAAAAACAAGACCATTAACACACACCTCAATACAGAGTCATTACGCCATTGCAGAAGTTGCATCTGAGAGGAACAAGGCTTACTTTTATTACCCTGAAGTGGACCGTGACAGCAAAATATGAGTGTGCACTAGTAACCCAGGACAGGCAGCTTTAATTCCCTTAATCTGTTTAAAATGAGAGTTACGAAGTTGGAAGAGAATATTCAAGAGTGTCCAAGAGCTCATTTTCAATCTTAAGGTCATGAACTATTTCTGGGTTAAAAATGTTCTTTTTTCATTTGTGTTTGTGTGAGGGTGGATATCAGAGACAACAAAGGACTTTGTTGATCACTTAGGAAGAAAAGTCTTGTGGGAGAAAGAAGACAGATTCCTCTCTACTTCAGCCCAATGTTTGCAGACTATCTGTCTTGTGTTGACGTGGCAGCCCTGATTGCAAAGCCTGTAAAGTCCTTTGCAGATGTAGACTCTCTATCTCTCCTCTCTTGTTCCTGCATGTTTTCTTCCTTCTCTATATCCACCTTTATTCCTCCTCCCCCACGCAATCATCCTCTTTTTTTTATTATCCTTTTCCTCTGGAAGTCTTACTAAAGTGTGTGTCTACGAGTGTGTGTGTTTGTGTGTGTGTGTGTGTGTGTGTGTGTGTGTGTGTGTGTGTGTGTGTGTGTGCGCGCATGACTACTAGGCCAGTTGCCTGTGTGATGTGCAGCCAACTCCTCCAAACACGCTCTCGGAATACTTCTTTTGGGTTTCATGGTTGTGGATTCAAGTTGTTAAGTGCCAGAAATGAGCACATGAAATATAGCTGTGTGTGTCTGACTGGAGCGGCTGGAGCAGACTCAGCCAACACAGCAGGCCAGCAGGCTGGGGCTGCACTCGAACCTGAACTTTTCCTGAGAACTTTCTGGAAACTTGACCTCAGATAATCCTGAGCATAACAGAAAAACCAAAACGGAGACTGAAAACAGTGAAAAGAATGTGCTGCAAATTCACCAAAGGGCTTTCATTGCAAAGGCAAAAACACCTGAGCATTTGCTGGTCTGTTAAACAGCACATGCTTGTGTCAGTGCGTGTGTGTGTTTTAGTACTCTTGTTAAACCAAGGGGTGTGTTTTTGTTCCTATTAGAGAGGTAGGGGGAGACCCGACAGTTTTGTGTACTGGCCAGCAGCAGCTTTAGACGGAGGGTTTGTACTGTAAAACACTCTCAGCTAGTTTTACTTTAAAACAATGCATTTCCCTTTTGCCTGATTATGTGGCTTCCCTGAATTATCACAAGCGTGTTTGAGTTCAAACAAACTGATTGAGTATCACTGAGCTCTAGAAAACAAGTTCTTTCGTTGCTTTTTTTCTACACTGGGATGTTTTTTTTCCTCCATCGCTGGCGCTTTTTAGTCTGGCACTCTCATCTTTTCCGCCTACTCTGCTTTTATATGTCGGCAAACTAACTGTAAAATACATAAACTGAAGGTTTACACCATCAACTCTACTCTTTTAGTTCTGGGCGATGAAGTTCAGCTTGTGTTAAGCAGTGCTGAAACTTAGTTTTCCCTCAAGCCTTTGAGTAGCAGTTAGCGAACACCCTGTAGTTCTCGAAAGCTGCACTAAACTCAACCTAGCCTCTCCAAGGGAATTAACTTGACTCTACCTCACCTTGTGTTGGAAGACATTATAATACGATTACATGCATGGAAAAAAAAAGTCAGTCTTCTCCTTTCTGTGCTTGTTTGTTTTTGTAGGTAAAGTTGAGGATCAAATACGGACGCTAGATTCTACTTCTAGTTAAACAAACTTTTCTTGGATGTTTTACAGTGTGTTGTGTTTGTGGTTTAGGGCTGTTTCCTGTAAGATCAGGGTGGCCATATGGCACCTTGGACAGATGAGATGTATTAAGTGATGTCACCTGTTGCCAGTGTGAGCTAAGATTTAACACACGCGCCAGGAACAGAACATTTTCCAAAGTGTAGCTCGAGCTGATATCTAACTGCTGCAGTCCATGTGGAGAAGATCCTTCATGGAAAACACCATGAACACTTCAAAAATCCTGTCCAGTTCTCTTTGCCAGTCCTTTTATTTTGACTCATCCGACGATCCAACGACCGCCGAGTTTTATTGTTATGGTTTGGGAAAAGCTCCATGAAATATATTTGAAGGCGTCATGTGCTGTTTTTGTCATAAGTCATAAAACTGTGCAGTAAAATGTCTGCGCAAGGCAGAAAGGCTCAAAACATGAGCATGTTTCCTTCCCGGATTTAGGGCTCAGTATTTGTTCAAACGTTTTCTGCAGTCTCATACGATTTAAATAATACTGTTCTGATGATCAACTCAAGTGCCACTGCAGCTACTCCTGATGAAAGTTATGAAAAGGGCCTCCTTTATGCTACAAAAACAATATTAATGGAGTCCCAGCACTGAATGAAACAATAACATAGGGCTGCCAGTAAATGAGGATTTCTGACAGAAGCTATTTTATTAAATTGTACGATTTGTAACCACAAAAAAAGGAAAGTAATGAAACCTTGAATTACATAACTATAGTTGTAGGGAGACATCATGTCAGAGAAATGAAAAATGAAAAAGAATGTGATCACAACAGTGAATTGGATGAAACTTGTTTGATATGAATTTTAAAATGATTAATGCAACCTTGAATTACATAATAGTCACATGACAGGCAGACAGACAGACAGACAGACAGAGAGAGAGAGAGTTAGACTTTATTTTGTGGTTAAAATGTGAGAGGTCAAATGATGGGACAATTGTTCATGATTCATTATTTTGTAGTTTTTATTTGCACGGTTGAAGACTTGCCATAACTCTAAGGGGGGGGGGTTGCAAATGTATAATGTGAGGCTGGTAAGAGGCTCAGTGCTATGCGATGGCCTTCCTGGCTCTTCAGGGGTTGAACTACCTCCACTCACTGTTTAGGATGAGTAGAGGTCTAAATATATAAGCCTTAGATTAAAAGTGTAAATTTGACTTTGCTCTGTTTTTTCCCCTCCACTGTATCTGTTTCTCTCTG